TCTGACCCGGGTTGGGTTAGGGTCTGTTCTACTGTTCTACTAGTCGCCTCTGACCCGGGTTGGGTCAGGGTCTGTTCTACTAGTCGCCTCGGACTAGGTTTGGGTCGGGGTCTGTTCTACTAGTCGCCTCGGACCCGGGTTGGGTCAGGGTCTGTTCTACTAGTCGCCTCGGACCCGGGTTGGGTTAGGGTCTGTTCTACTAGTCGCTTCGGATCCTGGTTGGGTTAGGGCTGTGTTCAACTAGTCGCCTCTGACCCGGGTTGGGTTAGGGTCTGTTCTGCTAGTCGCCTTTGACCCGGGCTGGGTTAGGGTCTGTTCTGCTAGTCGCCTCTGACCCGGGTTGGGTTAGGGTCTGTTCTACTAGTCGCCTATGACCCGGGTTGGGTCAGGGTCTGTTCTACTAGTCGCCTCTGACCCGGGTTGGGTCAGGGTCTTTTCTGCTAGTCGCCTCTGACCCGGGTTGTGTCAGGGTCTGTTCTGCTAGTCGCCTCTGACCCGGGTTGGGTCAGGGTCTGTTTTGCTAGTCGCCTCTGACCCGGGTTGGGTCAGGGTCTGTTCTGCTAGTCGCCTCTGACCCGGGTTGGGTCAGGGTCTGTTCTGCTAGTTGCCTCTGACCCGGGTTGGTTTGGGTCTGTTCTACTAGTCGCCTATGACCAGGGTTGGGTCAGGGTCTGTTCTACTCGTCGCCTATGACCCGGGTTGGGTCAGGGTCTGTTCTACTAGTCGCCTCTGACCCGGGTTGGGTTAGGGCTGTTCTGCTAGTCGCCTCTGACCCGGGTTGGGTCAGGGTCTGCTCTACTAGTTGCCTCTGACCCGGGTTGGGTCAGGGTCTGTTCTACTAGTTGCCTCAGACCCGGGTTTGGGTTAGGGTATGTTCAACTAGTCGCCTCTGACCCGGGTTGGGTCAGGGTCTGTTCTAATAGTCGTCTCGGACCCGGTTTGGGTCAGGGTCTGTTCTACTAGTCGCCTCTGACCCGGGTTGGGTCAGGGTCTGTTCTGCTAGTCGCCTCTGACCCGGGTTGGGTCAGGGTCTGTTCTACTAGTCGCCTCGGACCTGGGTTGGGTCAGGGTCTGTTCTACTAGTGGCCTCGGACCCGGGTTGGGTCAGGGTCTTTTCTACTATTCGCCTCGGACCCGGTTTGGGTCAGGGTCTGTTCTACTAGTTGCCTCTGACCCGGGTTGGGTTACGGTCTGTTCTACTAGTCGCCTCTGACCCGGGCTGGGTTAGGGTCTGTTCTACTAGTCGCCTCGGACCCGGGTTGGGTCAGGGTCTGTTCTACTAGTCGCCTCGGACCCGGGTTGGGTCAGGGTCTGTTCTACTAGTCGCCTTTGACCCGGGCTGGGTTAGGGTCTGTTCTACTAGTCGCCTCTGACCCGGGCTGGGTTAGGGTCTGTTCTACTAGTCGCCTCTGACCCGGGCTGGTTAGGGTCTGTTCTACTAGTCGCCCCTGATCCGGGTTGGGTTAGGGTCTGTTCTACTAGTCGCCTCTGACCCGGGTTTGGTTAGGGTCTGTTCTATTAGTCGCCTCTGACCCGGGTTGGGTTAGGGTCTTTTCTACTAGTCGCCTCTGACCCGGGTTGGCTCAGGGTCTGTTCTACTAGTCGCCTCTGACCCGGGTTGGGTTAGGGTCTGTTCTCCTAGTCGCCTGTGACTCGGGTTGGGTCAGGGCCTGTTTTGCTAGTCCCCTCTGACCCGGGTTGGGTCAGGGTCTGTTCTGCTAGTCGCCTCTCACCCGGGTTGGGTCAGGGTCTGTTCTGCTAGTCGCCTCTGACCCGGGTTGGGTTAGGGTCTGTTCTACTGTTCTACTAGTCGCCTCTGACCCGGGTTGGGTCAGGGTCTGTTCTACTAGTCGCCTCTGACCCGGGTTGGGTCAGAGTCTGTTCTAATAGTCGACTCTGACCCGGGTTGGGTCAGGGTCTGTTCTACTAGTCGTCTCGGACCCGGTTTGGGTCAGGGTCTGTTCTACTAGTCGCCTCGGACTAGGTTTGGGTCAGGGTCTGTTCTACTAGTCGCCTCGGACCCGGGTTGGGTCAGGGTCTGTTCTACTACTCGCCTCGGACCCGGGTTGGGTTAGGGTCTGTTCTACTAGTCGCCTCGGACCCTGGTTGGGTTAGGGCTGTGTTCAACTAGTCGCCTCTGACCCGGGTTGGGTTAGGGTCTGTTCTGCTAGTCGTCTTTGACCCGGGCTGGGTTAGGGTCTGTTCTGCTAGTCGCCTCTGACCCGGGTTGGGTTAGGGTCTGTTCTACTAGTCGCCTATGACCCGGGTTGGGTCAGGGTCTGTTCTACTAGTCGCCTCTGACCCGGGTTGGGTCAGGGTCTGTTCTGCTAGTCGCCTCTGACCCGGGTTGGGTCAGGGTCTGTTCTACTCGTCGCCTATGACCCGGGTTGGGTCAGGGTCTGTTCTACTAGTCGCCTCTGACCCGGGTTGGGTTAGGGCTGTTCTGCTAGTCGCCTCTGACCCGGGCTGGGTTAGGGTCTGTTCTACTAGTCGCCTCTGACCCGGGCTGGTTAGGGTCTGTTCTACTAGTCGCCCCTGATCCGGGTTGGGTTAGGGTCTGTTCTACTAGTCGCCTCTGACCCGGATTTGGTTAGGGTCTGTTCTATTAGTCGCCTCTGACCCGGGTTGGGTTAGGGTCTTTTCTACTAGTCGCCTCTGACCCGGGTTGGCTCAGGGTCTGTTCTACTAGTCGCCTCTGACCCGGGTTGGGTTAGGGTCTGTTCTACTAGTCGCCTGTGACTCGGGTTGGGTCAGGGTCTGTTCTGCTAGTCGCCTCTCACCCGGGTTGGGTCAGGGTCTTTTCTGCTAGTCGCCTCTGACCCGGGTTGGGTTAGGGTCTGTTCTACTGTTCTACTAGTCGCCTCTGACCCGGGTTGGGTCAGGGTCTGTTCTACTAGTCGCCTCTGACCCGGGTTGGGTCAGAGTCTGTTCTAATAGTCGACTCTGACCCGGGTTGGGTCAGGGTCTGTTCTACTAGTCGTCTCGGACCCGGTTTGGGTCAGGGTCTGTTCTACTAGTCGCCTCGGACTAGGTTTGGGTCAGGGTCTGTTCTACTAGTCGCCTCGGACCCGGGTTGGGTCAGGGTCTGTTCTACTAGTCGCCTCGGACCCGGGTTGGGTTAGGGTCTGTTCTACTAGTCGCCTCGGACCCTGGTTGGGTTAGGGCTGTGTTCAACTAGTCGCCTCTGACCCGGGTTGGGTTAGGGTCTGTTCTGCTAGTCGCCTTTGACCCGGGCTGGGTTAGGGTCTGTTCTGCTAGTCGCCTCTGACCCGGGTTGGGTTAGGGTCTGTTCTACTAGTCGCCTATGACCCGGGTTGGGTCAGGGTCTGTTCTACTAGTCGCCTCTGACCCGGGTTGGGTCAGGGTCTGTTCTGCTAGTCGCCTCTGACCCGGGTTGGGTCAGGGTCTGTTCTGCTAGTTGCCTCTGACCCGGGTTGGGTCAGGGTCTGTTTTGCTAGTCGCCTCTGACCCGGGTTGGGTCAGGGTCTGTTCTGCTAGTCCCCTCTGACCCGGGTTGGGTCAGGGTCTGTTCTGCTAGTTGCCTCTGACCCGGGTTGGTTTGGGTCTGTTCTACTAGTCGCCTATTACCAGGGTTGGGTCAGGGTCTGTTCTACTCGTTGCCTATGACCCGGGTTGGGTCAGGGTCTGTTCTACTAGTCGCCTCTGACCCGGGTTGGGTTAGGGCTGTTCTGCTAGTCGCCTCTGACCCGGGTTGGGTCAGGGTCTGCTCTACTAGTTGCCTCTGACCCGGGTTGGGTCAGGGTCTGTTCTACTAGTTGCCTCAGACCCGGGTTTGGGTTAGGGTATGTTCAACTAGTCGCCTCTGACCCGGGTTGGGTCAGGGTCTGTTCTAATAGTCGTCTCGGACCCGGTTTGGGTCAGGGTCTGTTCTACTAGTTGCCTCGGACCTGGGTTGGGTCAGGGTCTGTTCTACTAGTTGCCTCTGACCCGGGTTGGGTTAGGGTCTGTTCATCTAGTTGCCTCTGACCCGGGTTGGGTCAGGGTCTGTTCTACTAGTCGCCTCTGACCCGGGTTGGGTTAGGGTCTGTTCTGCTAGTCGCCTCTGACCCGGGTTGGGTCAGGGTCTGTTCTACTAGTTGCCTCTGACCCGGGTTGGGTTAGGGTCTGTTCCACTAGTCGCCTATGACCCGGGTTGGGTCAGGGTCTGTTCTGCTAGTCGCCTCTGACCCGGGTTGGGTTAGGGCTGTGTTCAACTAGTCGCCTCTGACCCGGGCTGGGTCAGGGTCTGTTCTACTAATCTGGTTAAAATGAATTCTGCTAAAATGAAGTTTTCTGCTTCGGCGACTTGTTGCTGCCTGTGGACAAGTGTGGAGGGGCGGCGTCATCCACGCCTCCCCTCTGTTACTGAAGATGTCAAAAGTTCATGATTCAAACCAGAAGACCTCTCTATCCAAGCACCTTGGAGTTCTAAACCCCCCGAGGCGCTTCACAACACAGTCAGTCATTCACACATTCACACGCTGATGGTGATGAGCTACACTGTAGCCACAGCTGCCCTGGGGTGCCCTGACAGAGGCGAGGCTGCCGAACACAGATGCCACCGGTCCCTCCGACCACCACCAGCTGCACGGCGGGTTAAGTGTCTTGCCCAAGGACACAACAGCAGAATTCTCTGTCCGGAGCCCGGGATCAAACCTGCAACCTTCCGATTACTGGACAACCCGTTCTACCTCCTGAGCTGCTGCTGTCCATAATAACAATAATACAAATAAATGAAGCCCGTGCAGATGATCGTTACGAATCCTCACCAAAGATCTTCTCTGATGTGGCTCAGAGTGACCTAAACCTGACTGATGTTAAGCAAACAGAAAAGGAAAGCAGGCTTGTCCTCAGAGCCTAAATGAACTAATAAAGGTTAATAACATGCTAATGAAAAGACCGGAAGCTTGTTCTGTTTGTTTTAAAATCATTTCAGCCAAACAAAAGATGCATGCTAAGGAATGTTTGCTGGTTTTTCACTGACCTCTGTTTCTCTGCAGGTTTTTAATGCAAGAACAGCTGAACTGCTCAGTCACCATCAAGTCGAGATCAACCAGAGCTTCCCAAAGGAAGGGTGAGATTCCTCAAATCCACATGAGATCCTAAAAGTTTTCCCACATAAATTAGTTTTAATATTACTGAAGAGAAAATAAGTCTAGCATCAGTTTTAATTATAGTCCAGATCCTAATGAGTGCATCGACTCCAACTCTGATTCATTTGAACAAGAATGAATGTCAACATTCCCTAAAGGAATGAAAACCACGTCTGATATCCTGTAAGTGTTGGGATTTAATGGAGTATTTTTTTAGTTAAACAATAAAAACCTGCATTTATCACACCAACCACAAACGCGGCGGTTAAAGACGTTTTAGGGCTGCCTAATGCTCGCTCGCTGTGGCTGTAGATGTTCCGGCAGAGATCTGAGAGGCTAATATTCAGCAGATGTTTTGGACGTGAACAGGTGGAAACACCAGGTGTAGAAGAAAACACACAGTTACGTTTGAACACCAGGAGCTGCTTCTGCTCCTCCTGATGCAGAAGAGACAGAAATCTTCTTTTACTGCCGTCGCCTGGAAAAGTCTGATCTGTTTCAGCGCTGTAGACCTGACTGCAGAAGATGTGAAAGCGACTAACGACATCACGATGACGTAACACCAGACTGTTCAGGCCGGGAGACTGAGGGCCTACGGTGTCTTCATCAGCATTCCCTGAAAGCTCGGACTCAGATGTTATTTTAGCTCTTTGTTTTTGCCGGAGTCTGCAGTTATAATTTAACTGACGTTTGTCCTCCGAACTTCGATCGGGTCAAAGGTGCAGTTTTATTTCACTGTTGAGCAACAAGCTGATTTACTAGATGAGCAGTTTAGTTTGAGGGCCGAAGACTGTTGCAGCTTTGCATCAGAGCGGCAGATAAACCAGACTAATGGGCTGATTTATGATTCGGCTCAAAGTAAGACAAGAATCAGAATGTTTGAACAAATGATCTGTAGAAAACATGCAAAGGCCACCAAAACAAATAGAAATGTTAATGCTGCTGCCAGTGGCTCATTGGGGTTGCCATGGTAACCAGATCCTGTCTCTCGCTGACAGGTGTCTAGTGGAGGTTCAGTTGTGTTTATTTGTGTGTTTGTTTGTTGTTTTTGGGTCAGATGGGTGGAGGAGGACCCCAAAGAGATCATGTGGTCCGTTTATGAGTGCATGGAGCGGACCTGTGAGAAACTCAGACAGCTCAATGTGGACGTGTCCAACATTAAAGGTGAGAGCGTCACAGGGGACCAGAGGCAGCTGGTGGACGGTTTCAGTGTTGACGTCCATGTTGTGACTATCTGCAGCGGTGGGAGTGACCAATCAGAGAGAAACCACCCTGGTTTGGGACAAAGAGACCGGAGAGCCGCTCTACAACGCCATCGGTGAGTTCTGATCCGAACCGGTTTCAGGTCCCAAAGAGAAGCTGCTCCTCTTTCAGCTGATCTCAGGTTTCTTCTTTTGAAGTTTCACAGCAGATTGTCCTTCATCTTAAAGCTTATTGGTTAGTTTTTCATAATGAAATCATGACTTTGGTCTCTTGACCTCACGAGGAGCTCCGTGCCAGCTCCAGGAGCCTCGCTCTCGTGTTGCTGGAATACCGTGTTAAGGATTAGAAGAACACACTCCCTCCCAGTTCTGTCATCAGGAACTCCTCTCAGTTTAGTTAGTGAGACAAGTGTGGGAGGAGCTGGAGACAGGAGGACCCAATCCCAGACTAAATGTTGGATGTATCTGGAACCAACAGTCGGTGTTTTAAACTTTCCTGTTTCCTGTGTGTGGTTGGTAGTTTGGCTGGACCTGCGGACTCAGTCGACTGTAGAAGAGCTCATCAACAAAAACCCTGGCAGAAGCAAGAACCACCTGAGGGTAGGAGCTGATGAACCAGAGGCCCTCTGGACCAGAACCTCACACCAGAATCTGATTTGTGGGAAAGCCCTGAATTAGACCCATTTCCTGTCCCTGCAGCAGAAAACCGGACTCCCCATCAGCACCTACTTCAGCGCCGTGAAGCTTCGCTGGCTGCTGGACAACGTGGACGAGGTGCACGAGGCAGTTCTGAGTAAACGGGCCCTGTTTGGTACCGTGGACTCCTGGATCATCTGGGTAAGAGAGAGCTGCTCCTAGCTGCAGGCGTTCACGAGGAAACTCTTCAGGTCTTTTCTTTAGTGTCTGACAGGCGGCAGGAGTGGAGGCGTCCACATCACAGACGTGTCCAACGCCAGTCGGACCATGCTCTTCAACATCCACTCTCTGGACTGGGACCCGGAACTCTGCAGGTGAGATCCCGTCTGATAAACCAGAATTATTATGTCTCCTCTGGTGTTTTCATCCTAGAAACAGGTTTAAATGTGTCCTGGCTGTGCAGGGAGGGAGCTCGTCCGCGTCCACGGCGACTCCATCTGCTGTGAAAGAAGACTAGATGTTGTTCACAGTAAAACTGATGTTAACGTGGCTGAAAAGTTACTTAACAAAGTTTGCCAAAAGGTCAAACTGTGGCAAAGCCCACCTCAGGTCTGTGCTAGAACAAAGGTCAAAGGTCAAACTGCTGAAGACATTCATTTTTTTCTAAATCCTTCGTGTGACTTTTTATATCTCTTCAATCCGTCTGAGGTTTTTATTTCTGCAGCGGCTTTGATTACATTAAAGGAACTTCCTTCACCCCTTCACAATAAGAGTCTGAAACCTCCACATGCACTTTGAATCATCACAGAACATCTGAGTGATTATCGTCGTCCAGTAAACCGGCTGCAGCAGCCCGACCCGATGAGTCTGGTTAGGGTCAGGGTTACAAACCGGGTCTGACTGGTTTGTTCTCCTGCTTTAGTTTGTTAATAAAGTTTTTTTCTTTGACTTCAGGTACTTTGACATTCCAATGGAAATCCTCCCAAACGTCAGAAGCTCCTCAGAAATATACGGCTGGATGGTAAGCCCCTCCCCTTTCACCACTTGCTGTTGCTGTAGTCGTGACCCGATCCAGCTGTGTGAAACCTTCTCTGGTAGCAGAAGGTCTGATGAAACATCTGGATGAAGCAGCTGTTTGCTGGCTGTGAGGCCGGCTCACACACGTCTGTAACAGAGTGTTCTCTGGAAAACCGGGATGAAGGAGGAAAACCGGGATGTTCTTCCTGTCACTGAGATTCCTGAATCAGTTGTTTTACCAGATTTGTGACCGGATGAAGTCTGGAATGGCGTTCTGAGCTGATTAGAAGCTGACGCCATGTTGTTTGTCTGGGTTCATATCTTATCTTTAGAGTTCAAAGGTCACCTGCACGGTGGAGGTTTTGGGTTGACGCAGAAGGGAGCAGCTTTGGCTCTGTAGGAGTGTGCTGGCTGACATCAAACCTGTATCTACACATTCATGATATCAGGTTCTTCTGTCCCGACTCAGAGTCCTCTTAACGTTCCAGGAGGAATTTTATCAGGAATTTATTACTGTAATCTGGAAAACCCAGCTGATTCATCACAAACCACTTTGATGGGCTTTGACGTGTGACTGAACCCAGCTGATGGTTGAACGGGTTCTGGAGCAGCCGTGTGATTCTGGTGCTGGAACACCGGGCCAGGTCCAGGAAACCCCGAGGTTTATGGAAAACTGGTCTTCTTGTGGTTTATTGACTTGGATCAGGATTCTGTTCCCGTGGAGAGGAACGCTGTTGAGGGCCGGTGACGGGTCAGACTCGTTTCCAGGTTACCTTCAAGTCTAGCAGGGACCAGGTCTAGCAGGGATCAGGTCTAGCAGGGACCAGGTCTAGCAGGGACCAGGTCTAGCAGGGATCTGGTCTAGCAGGGATCAGGTCTAGCAGGGACCAGGTCTAGCAGGGACCAGGTCTAGCAGGGACCAGGTCTAGCAGGGATCAGGTCTAGCAGGGATCTGGTCTAGCAGGGATCAGGTCTAGCAGGGACCAGGTCTAGCAGGGACCAGGTCTAGCAGGGATCTGGTCTAGCAGGGATCAGGTCTAGCAGGGACCAGGTCTAGCAGGGACAAGGTCTAGCAGGGACCAGGTCTAGCAGGGATCTGGTCTAGCAGGGATCAGGTCTAGCAGGGACCAGGTCTAGCAGGGACCAGGTCTAGCAGGGACCAGGTCTAGCAGGGACAAGGTCTAGCAGGGATCAGGTCTAGCAGGGACAAGGTCTAGCAGGGATCAGGTCTAGCAGGGACCAGGTCTAGCAGGGACCAGGTCTAGCAGGGACAAGGTCTAGCAGGGACAAGGTCTAGCAGGGACCAGGTCTAGCAGGGATCAGGTCTAGCAGGAACCAGGTCTAGCAGGGACCAGGTCTAGCAGGGACCAGGTCTAGCAGGGACAAGGTCTAGCAGGGATCAGGTCTAGCAGGGACCAGGTCTAGCAGGGACCAGGTCTAGCAGGGACAAGGTCTAGCAGGGACAAGGTCTAGCAGGGATCAGGTCTAGCAGGGACCAGGTCTAGCAGGGACCAGGTCTAGCAGGGACCAGGTCTAGCAGGGACCAGGTCTAGCAGGGATCAGGTCTAGCAGGGACCAGGTCTAGCAGGGACCAGGTCTAGCAGCAGGGATCAGGTCTAGCAGGGACCAGGTCTAGCAGGGACCAGGTCTAGCAGGGATCAGGTCTAGCAGGGACCAGGTCTAGCAGGGACCAGGTCTAGCAGGGACCAGGTCTAGCAGCAGGGATCAGGTCTAGCAGGGACCAGGTCTAGCAGGGACAAGGTCTAGCAGGGATCAGGTCTAGCAGGGATCTGGTCTAGCAGGGACCAGGTCTAGCAGGGACCAGGTCTAGCAGGGACAAGGTCTAGCAGGGACCAGGTCTAGCAGGGATCAGGTCTAGCAGGAACCAGGTCTAGCAGGGACCAGGTCTAGCAGGGACCAGGTCTAGCAGGGATCAGGTCTAGCAGGGACCAGGTCTAGCAGGGACCAGGTCTAGCAGGGATCAGGTCTAGCAGGGATCTGGTCTAGCAGGGACCAGGTCTAGCAGGGACCAGGTCTAGCAGGGACAAGGTCTAGCAGGGATCAGGTCTAGCAGGGACCAGGTCTAGCAGGGACCAGGTCTAGCAGGGATCTGGTCTAGCAGGGACCAGGTCTAGCAGGGACCAGGTCTAGCAGCAGGGATCAGGTCTAGCAGGGACCAGGTCTAGCAGGGACAAGGTCTAGCAGGGATCAGGTCTAGCAGGGACCAGGTCTAGCAGGGACCAGGTCTAGCAGGGACCAGGTCTAGCAGGGACAAGGTCTAGCAGGGACCAGGTCTAGCAGGGACCAGGTCTAGCAGGAACCAGGTCTAGCAGGGATCAGGTCTAGCAGGGACCAGATCTAGCAGGGACCAGGTCTAGCAGGGATCTGGTCTAGCAGGGACCAGGTCTAGCAGGGACCAGGTCTAGCAGGGACCAGGTCTAGCAGGGACAAGGTCTAGCAGGGATCAGGTCTAGCAGGGACCAGGTCTAGCAGGGACAAGGTCTAGCAGGGATCAGGTCTAGCAGGGATCTGGTCTAGCAGGGACCAGGTCTAGCAGGGACAAGGTCTAGCAGGGACAAGGTCTAGCAGGGACCAGGTCTAGCAGGGATCAGGTCTAGCAGGAACCAGGTCTAGCAGGGACCAGGTCTAGCAGGGACCAGGTCTAGCAGGGATCAGGTCTAGCAGGGACCAGGTCTAGCAGGGACCAGGTCTAGCAGGGATCAGGTCTAGCAGGGATCTGGTCTAGCAGGGACCAGGTCTAGCAGGGACCAGGTCTAGCAGGGACAAGGTCTAGCAGGGATCAGGTCTAGCAGGGACCAGGTCTAGCAGGGACCAGGTCTAGCAGGGATCTGGTCTAGCAGGGACCAGGTCTAGCAGGGACCAGGTCTAGCAGGGACCAGGTCTAGCAGCAGGGATCAGGTCTAGCAGGGACAAGGTCTAGCAGGGATCAGGTCTAGCAGGGATCTGGTCTAGCAGGGACCAGGTCTAGCAGGGACCAGGTCTAGCAGGGACAAGGTCTAGCAGGGACCAGGTCTAGCAGGGATCAGGTCTAGCAGGAACCAGGTCTAGCAGGGACCAGGTCTAGCAGGGACCAGGTCTAGCAGGGATCAGGTCTAGCAGGGACCAGGTCTAGCAGGGACAAGGTCTAGCAGGGATCAGGTCTAGCAGGGACCAGGTCTAGCAGGGACCAGGTCTAGCAGGGACCAGGTCTAGCAGGGATCTGGTCTAGCAGGGACCAGGTCTAGCAGGGACCAGGTCTAGCAGCAGGGATCAGGTCTAGCAGGGACAAGGTCTAGCAGGGATCAGGTCTAGCAGGGATCTGGTCTAGCAGGGACCAGGTCTAGCAGGGACCAGGTCTAGCAGGGACAAGGTCTAGCAGGGACCAGGTCTAGCAGGGATCAGGTCTAGCAGGAACCAGGTCTAGCAGGGACCAGGTCTAGCAGGGACCAGGTCTAGCAGGGATAAGGTCTAGCAGGGACCAGGTCTAGCAGGGACCAGGTCTAGCAGGGATCAGGTCTAGCAGGGATCTGGTCTAGCAGGGACCAGGTCTAGCAGGGACCAGGTCTAGCAGGGACAAGGTCTAGCAGGGACCAGGTCTAGCAGGGACCAGGTCTAGCAGGGACCAGGTCTAGCAGGGATCAGGTCTAGCAGGGATCAGGTCTAGCAGGGACCAGGTGTAGCAGGGACCAGGTCTAGCAGGGATCAGGTCTAGCAGGGACCAGGTCTAGCAGGGATCTGTTCTAGCAGGGACCAGGTCTAGAAGGGACAAGGTCTAGCAGGGACCAGGTCTAGCAGGGACAAGGTCTAGGATCTTGTTGGGTTGAAGTCTTTGTTTGTTTGTTTGCACACAGTTTTAGATGTAAACACGTTTTGTTCTCTAAACAGAATTCCGGTTCCCTCTCAGGAGTTCCTATCTCTGGGGTAAGAAGGTTCCCAAGGACAAATGGATGTTAAACGTTCTGGTTGAGTTTTTAAACGCAGCGTGTTCCTGTCAGTGTTTAGGGGACCAGTCGGCTGCTCTGGTGGGTCAGATGTGCTTCGATGAAGGCCAGGCCAAGAACACGTGAGACGGTTTCTCGCCAGAATGAACACATGAATGTTTTCATTCAGACGTGTGTGATTAATAAAGTTTTTACGCGTAGGTACGGGACGGGCTGCTTCCTGCTCAGAAACACGGGAACCAAAGTAAGACGTGCTGAACACAGTGAAATGTTTACTTCCTGTTTATCATCATCATGTGATGCTTTCAGCCTCTGATGTCACACCACGGACTTCTCACCACTGTTGCCTACAAGCTGGGGAAAGATGGGCCTGCTTGTTATGCCCTGGAGGTTTGTGATAATCTCACTCCTAATCTGGCTCTAATCTCAGCCATAACATTATGACTACATGCACATAGCCAGAAACATTTTAATTCTACAACAATTCCTCTGTTATGTCTGGTAAACACGGAGCTAGCGTGCTCCTACAAGCTCCTCCTGCACATCTTCTGCCCCTGGTGGAGAATCTCAGTACTGCAGGTGCAGAGTGCTCTTTTATTCTGTATAATGTTGAGTTGTCTATAGGTAAATAACCAAATATGAACATAAACAAATAAGTTAAAAATAAAACGTTTATTTTATGAACCAGGCTTTAAATGGTTAACCTACTGAGCCAGAACATCTAGTCTGAGATCAGAACCTGGAGGTATGTGGTTCTGATCCAACAGAGGAGCTGCTGTGTGTGTTGGTGATGGAGCTCACCTGACTGATTATGGAGGACGGTAAACTGACAGGGACAGTGAGATGTTTGGACAGAGTTCTGTGGGTCCACATGTTCCTTTGACCCGTAGAACCCTCTACACCTGCGGAACCGCTCTGGCTCACTTCCTTTATGACCTGTTCAGCAGGACGAGGCTAGCTGGTCATAGTGTAATGGCTGATGGACCTGCTGATCCACGATGTGTCTCCCCAGGGTTCGGTTGCCATAGCAGGAGCTGTGATCCGCTGGCTGAAGGACAACATGGGCATCGTGCAGTCGTCCTCAGAGATCGGTTTGTCCTCCGTCTCGTTGTCCACCATCTGGAAGTCAGAAATAGTCGATAATCAGCGTTTAAACACCAGCTCACCATCTGGTTTCAGAGACATTAGCGGCAGCAGCGGGAACCTCGTACGGCTGCTACTTTGTTCCGGCGTTCTCCGGTCTGTATGCTCCATACTGGGAGCCGAGCGCACGAGGGTGAGACAGACGCCTCGTCTCAGAAGGTCCAGACTCACCTGGGGGTCAGACAGACATTTGAATGATTGTTGTTTTCCAGCATCATCTGTGGGCTCACACAGTTCACCAACAGGAGTCACCTGGCCTTTGCTGCCCTGGAAGCCGTCTGCTTCCAGACCAGAGAGGTGGGCAGCGTCTCGCTCCTGCACCAAAGTCCTGCAACTGTCCGGGTTTCATCTGACATGTGGACCTGCTTTCTGGTTTTTGTGTTTCAGATCCTGGATGCGATGAACCAGGACAGCGGCGTCCCTCTGACGCAGCTCCGTGTGGACGGAGGAATGACGGGAAACAGGTTACTGATGCAGCTGCAGGCTGACATCCTCTGCATTCCTGTCGGTACGACACTCGGTACAGATTCGGCCATATTTATGTAATGATGGTACTGATCCTCAGCAGAGGGACACGTTTAAACATCTGGACTTGATTTGAACCAAAACTGAAAGAATCTTTCTAGAATCACACGCATCTGCTCCCACACAAAGACAGGTGAGGACACGAGGCTGATATCTTCAGGGGATTCAGAACATCTGGATGCAAAAGCAGGAAAAACTAAATTGTATCAGAAGGATTTTAAAACGTTGTCATTAAGGTGCAGATCAGTTTAATTCCCACCTGGTCTGAAGTTATTAAATCCCAGAAGAAGGCAAAATCCAGACTACAGGATCAGAGGACTTGATGTTCTGTGTTGCTGTTGTCAGTGCGACCCACCATGTCGGAGACCACAGCTCTGGGTGCAGCTATGGCAGCGGGGGCGGCTGAGGAGGTCGGGGTGTGGGACCTGGGCCCGGGTCAGCTCCCACATCTCACGTCTGAGAAATATGAGCCTCAGATCAACCCAGAAGGTACAAACATCAGTGAATGAGAGCAGTTAGAAGGGCTCTGCTGCCCACTAGTGGTGGGTTCTGTTGGAGACAGATGTGGTCTGCTGATGCTCAGGCTGAACCTTCTCTCCACAGAGAGCGAGTTTCGCTTCGCCCGCTGGAAGAAGGCCGTTCAGAAAGCCATGAACTGGGAGACGACGGAGCCCTGCAGCCACAGAAATGGTATGCAGCCGCAGAGCCTAACTGATGCCCTTTGCTCCTCTGAGTGAGTCTGATTTTGGTCTCATTGGCTGAAAACAGGTGTAGTGAAGAAGAAGCAGGGCGGTGCCCCCTGCTGGGTGACCCCCACCCCGCCCCCCGTCAGAGGTCCGAGCCGTGGTGCTGCATGTTGTGTTTGAGGTCATGTGACACTAACGTAGAGCATGTTGGGAAGCGTCACTAACAGAGTTGGCAGGTTTAGAGAGGAGCCGGTTTGGGATGTTTGTATGTTTTCCTGGTTTTCCTGCTTGTAGGAGCTGCTGCAGCATGAAGTTCCTTCTGAGCATCTGACGCTCAGTCACAGACCTCCAGCTGTTTCTGCAGGGGTCGGATGTCTGTGACACTAAAACATGTTTCGCCTCACAGGTCAGCAGCTCTGATCCAGCCGAGCCGGAGCAGAACTTAGGATGACATTTATGAGACTCGCTCAGAGTCACTCTGGACTGAAACGCTGGATGTGGGATCTCCTCTGATCCAGTCCATGACCTGAAGTGCCTGCTGCTGGATTCCAGAGGAACAACCTGTGGAGCATCCCGGGAATTCTTTAGGAGACAGATCCTTAAATCTCCCAGCCAGAGGAAATCATTTTATCTGACTTTTGTTGTGCTTTAGGAGACGCGTCGTCCATGACGACGTGTGTCATGTGACCACTGGAAAACCTTCATCAGAGATCTTCATCAGTCACATGACCCAGATTTAAAAATGAACTAAACTAATCAAACCGAACATTTCAGCAAATATCAACAGCCTTTCCGTGTATAAACAATCAATAATTCATAATAATTCCAGAACAGCCTCTGTTCAGAGAAATAGGGTTTAAGTCATCAGTGTCCAAATGTGTTTAACCCCAAACACCAAGTTTAAGGTCTTCGCAGGTCACAAAATAAGATTTTGTAGAGATGAATCAACATAATAAATAGAAGATTGTGCAGCTGTGAGACATGAAGTCTCTGGTGAACAACAGAGCAGCATCAGGCCCGCGGACCTGGTTCTGATGAATACACGTGAGTCCGGTATTGGGATCTGGGTTGTTCTTTCTGCTGCTGCTGGATTTAGACAAAGCTCTTAGTAGAGTCCAGGGTTTGTGCCCCCGTGACCAGGTGATTATATCATTAACTAAAACCCAGATCATTAAAAAGAAACTTTGGATCAGGCTTACATTTATTTTAAAGACTTTATTTTTTCTGCCTCGTGTTAGTCTGAACCAAAACATGATAACCAGCGTTTACAGATGTTATTAGCAGGATGAAAGCATTCTGTTATTACAGCTGAGGGCCGCTCTGTGGACCCCCTCCTTCAGGATTGATGAGCTAACAGCTAGACGGAGTGCAGCTAACATCAGAGTGTTTTGCTTTTGTGTTCAAACAACTACAATTTCTCAGTTGGTTTTTATTATGTAGTTCTTCTGGCATAAACCTGCTGGGTAGAGAGCTCACACTCACCTCAGAATATCCCTAAATATCTCCAGCCCCCCCCCCCCCCCCCCCCATGTTTACACCTGTCTGATCTGAGCAGAACATTAAAAGCTGTGACTGTTTTTATTTCTCAACTTTAACAAAAAAGAGTTTGAGAATAAAATCACAAAAAGGGTTTAAACAGTTTAAACGTGTAATACCTGTCTGAATCAGGCTTGATCTGCTCCAGCAGCTCAAAGACGAGGCAGCCGGCTAACCAGGAAGGTTCTGTCCGGGGACAAAGTGGACTTTTGGAGAGCTTCTGGCTGAATTTGCTGATCTGAGCTGAAACTCCGGTCTTCTGTTCATGCTTCAAAGGCAAAGTTCTGCCCATGTTTTGTGTTGGAAGGTACTCCAGCGTGCATTCACTAGTTGTAGCGAAGGGCCCAATCCCAACACTCGTACTTTCACACCTGCACCCTTCAATGCGTGATCCGGGACAGGGGGGGCAAGTGTGTAGGGTGTCCAGACACTTAAGTGCGGAAGTTGACCACGCCCCTTTTGCACCATTGATTTGTACTTCACCCAAGTCCACTTCGATGTGGACTTGGGTGAAGTGTATTACCCACAATCCTTTGTTGGGCGAGAAAAGGCTCAAATGCTTTTTCTGAAAATGTGTTCATTTTCAAATGAAAGTAGTTCATTTGAAAATGAACACACACACTCGAAGCCTTACTGCGCACTTCCTCCAAGTGCACTTCACGTCAGACTGTAGGGCGAAGCGCGGGTATTGGGACTGGGCCCAAGGATATGGTAAAGATGTATGTGCCCAAAGCAACAGGAAATACAAAGAGTAGAAGAACATTTACACCTACGTGCAGATTATACAGAGCATTTATACAGGAAGTGCAGAATTATTAGGCAAATGAGTGTTTGTCCACATCATCCTCTTCATGCATGTTGTCTTACTCATAGGCTCGAATGTCTACTACCAATTAAGCATATTAGGTGATGTGCATCTCCGTAATGAGAAGGGGTGTGGTCTAATGACATCAACACCCTATATCAGGTGTGCATAATTATTAGGCAACTTCCTTTCCTTTGGCAAAATGGGTCAAAAGAAGGACTTGACAGGCTCAGAAAAGTCAAATATAGTGAGAAATCTTGCAGAGGGATGCAGCAGTCTTAAAACTGCGAAGCTTCTGAAGCGTGATCATCAAACAATCAAGCGTTTCATTCAAAATAGTCAACAGGGTCGCTAGAAGTGTGTGGACAAACCAAGGCTCAAAATAACTGCCCATGAACTGAGAAAAGTCAAGCGTGCAGCTGCCAAGATGCCACTTGCCACCAGTTTGGCCATATTTCAGAGCTGCAACATCACTGGAGTGCCCAAAAGCACAAGATGTGCAATACTCAGAGACATGGCCAAGGTAAGAAAGGCTGAAAGACGACCACCACTGAACAAGACACACAAGCTAAAACGTCAAGACTAGGCCAAGAAGTATCTCCAGACTGATTCTTCTAAGGTTTTATGGACTGATGAAATGAGAGTGAGTCTTGATGGGCCCGTGGCTGGATTGGTAAAGGGCAGAGAGCTCCAGTCCGACTCAGACGCCAGCAAGGTTGGAGGTGGAGTACTGGTTTGGGCTGGTATCATCAAAGATGAGCTTGTGGGGCCTTTTCGGGTTGATGATGGAGTCAAGCTCAACTCCCAGTCCTACTGCCAGTTTCTGGAAGACACCTTCTTCAAGCAGTGGTACAGGAAGAAGTCTGCATCCTTCAAGAAAAACATGATTTTCATGCAGGACAATGCTCCATCACACGCGTCCAAGTACTCCACAGCGTGGCTGGCAAGAAAGGGTATAACAGAAGAAAAACTAATGACATGGCCTCCTTGTTCACCTGATCTGAACCCCACTGAGAACCTGTGGTCCATCATCAAATGTGCGATTTACAAGGAGGGGAAACAGTACACCTCTCTGAACCGTGTCTGGGAGGCTGTGGTTGCTGCTGCACCAATGTTGATGGTGAACAGATCAAAACACTGACAGAATCCATGGATGGCAGGCTTTTGAGTGTCCTTGCAAAGAAAGGTGGCTATACTGGTCGCTGATTTGTTTTTGTATTGTTTTTGAATGTCAGAAATGTATATTTGTGAATGTGGAGATGTTATATTGGTTTCACAGGTAAAGATAAATAATTGAAATGTGTATATATTTGTTTTTTGTTAAGTTGCCTAATTATGCACAGTAATAGTCGCCTGCACACACAGATATCCCCCTAAAATAGCTACAACTAAAAACAAACTAAAAACTACTTCCAAAAACATTCAGCTCTGATATTTATGAGTTTTTTGGGTTCATTGAGAACATGGTTGTTGTTCAATAATAAAATTATTCCTCAAAAATACAACTTGCCTAATAATTCTGCACTCCCTGTATTTTCATGGTGTTTTAAAACATTTTGTGATTCCTATCTTCTTTGTCGTCTTCTTCTTCCTGTAAGACTGGTGGGGCAGTGCCCCAGCAGACAGGCCGCCACTGTCCATTGGTTCATATGAAGGGGGAGGGGCTTAAAGGGTTCTGCAGTGCCAATGTGGCTGTAATAAGTGTTTTAATATAGTGCCTTTCAAAATAAAATTCACAAGAAACTACACAAAAAAATAAAGTAAACAAAACCAGAATAAACAAAAACAGAGACCGATATACAGAAATGATTTCAAACATCTCAGAATATATATATATATATGAATATATATATATATATATATTTTTTTTTCAGCCAAGTTCAGCTGCTTTAGTGGGATCTCCACCTGGTGATTGACATGCAGGTCAGAAGTTCAAACAGAAAACACAACAAACTCTTCAGTTTAAAGAAGAACTTTAATGTGTTAAATATGAAGTAGAAAACAGAAAAACCAACAACACAAATTAGAAGTCAGAACATCCAACTCTCACCCACATTTGAATGCAGGATTCTTTCCTTTTATTAACTTTTGTTTGTTTTCTAATTCAATTTCACGCCTAGAAACTTTTAAACAAGCTCAATAAATAAAATTATCTGTCACTAGTGTTGATATTAAAATCACACTGACCAGATCTGTCTGAATAAACAGGAATAAGGATTTCTTTAGTTTTAAATATCTTTATGAATAAATTAAAGGAAGGAAGGAGCGCCCCCTGTCTGCGTGTGTGTGTGTGTGTGTGTGTGTGTGTGCGCGCGCGCCTTCAGGCCCAGAGTCCATCCGTAGAACCGGATTTCACATCTGTATGTTTTTAAATGTGCCTTTTAAACCGTTGTTGTTGGTCTCATCAGACTCCACAGCCGTGTTCTCCAGACCGTACACCTTCTCTTTCATCCTGCCGTCCGAATCCAGGGTCCGGCCCTCACAGTCCGCGTCGGCAGACCCTTTCCCAAAAAACCTTTTGTAGGCCTGGAAACCTGCAGAGGATGAACAGCCACCAGTTAATGAACAGTTTTAAAGGGATTTAGGAGTTTTTATGTCAAATTAATTTAAAGCAACAGCCTGGAGAACTTCAGATGTCAGAGAGGAACAAACTCATCCTGCATACATAACCACTGAAACTAGAAGCTTGAAAAAGTAACGATGATCTGAGCTGTTTTTGCACTTTGACCTCAAAATAAGATCATTCCTGACGTTTGATTTGAAAATGTTCAGATGAATCTCACCCCCCACAGAAAAGACAGCCGCAGCCAGCTGGAAGATGCTGTAGATGAGCGGAAACGCAAACATGACCTCCAGCTCTGCTGGGCTGAAGGACAGCTGGACAATGGTGCTGCACAACTGGGAGTTCTGGAAGCCCGTCTCCAGGGCGATGGTTCGACATCTGAACGTGTAAACAGGTTCTTAGCAATAAAACGGTTACAAACACAGAAATGATCAGACTCAGGTCCCCCACCTGTCCCAGGGCTGACCCACAAAGCGGGCCAGCAGGAAGCCCAAACTGAATCCGATGAAGGGATAGATGGTTCCAATTATCCATAAGGAGGGGGCGATGTTCCAGGAGGACTGGTAGAGGACTCCTCCAACCACGGCTATGATGATGATGAGAAGAAAACCAGCTATAGACCCCACCTGTATAACAAACTCTTCATTAAATTCCATCCAGAACTTTTGTTTCCCATCAGCGGGTTGGTCAGTGAAACGTTCCCACCTTGAGGATCTTTTTGGCCACACGAGGCCACTTGTTCTTCACGTACATCCCCACAGCGATGGGGATCAAAAGGGCTGCTAATGTGATTCCTGAGAAAACACGAGGAAAAGAAGACAAATGTCAAACTTACCCACAATCCTCTCTGGTCCTGAAACGCAAAGATGTGTGATGGATGTTTTAATGGCTCACACACCGATGCTGTCAAAGGGGACCTTGATGGTGTCACTGGAAGTCCAAACGCTGGTGTAGATGAACAGGCAGAGAGGCATCATGCCCAGAGCCAAGATGGAGGAGCAGGCAGTCATGCTGATGCTGCAGGGAGAAGAACCAACAACCATGATCAGGTAGCGGACCCAGCCGGGAAACGGCTCCACCGCCCCTCAACACAAACCAAATAAAAATGGCTGTCAATGTGCTTTCATTCAGGGAATAACGGGATGAGTGTTCAGCCTCCAGGAAGAGTTCTGGGCCAGTCCTGGACTCGGCATTCCAACCATTGATCCTACTGGATGATTCATAGAGCTTCCCTCCTACTCGGTAAGGTGCCCCCACCTCGTTTGGAAATCAACATGTCTTCCAAACCTCCAACGCCCAGCTGAAGGACTGGATTGCTCTACTAACTGGTCAGACATTTTTTATGAAGCACCCAAGAGAAAAACCAGAAGGACACACTGGGATCAGTGGGACCAGTCCAAGGGTCAGAGTTGCTAACTGGATCTAAACCATGTTAAAACACTCTGATGTCAGTTCAATAGGAAGAAACTATGAAATAAGTCAGGTGAAAGCACACCTGTCCCCAGGTCCCTGTCTCACCTCAGGTCCATGTCTCCGTCCAGCCAGTAGCAGATGATGTTTGAGCCCGAGCCTCCGGGACAGCAGCCCATGATGATGATGACGACGGCCTGGACGGGCAGCACCCCGAAGGCCAGCGACAGCGCGAAGGCCGTGAAAGGCATGATGCCAAACTGGCACAGGAAGCCAATGACTATGCCCCAAGGCCTCCTGATGTGGCTCCACAGCTTCTTGGAGTCCACGGTGCAGCCCATGGAGAACATGACCATGGCGAGCATCACCGTGAGCACGATGCTCAGCACCAGGCTCAAGATGGCGTTAAAGTCACTGGGAGGAACCAGGCAGTTTGTGCCTGAGCAGATCGTGGCCCGAGGGTCACAGGTCAGCATCCCGAGAGCTGGCTTCAGGCTGGACATCATGGAAAACATCATGGACTTCCTAAACTCTGCACAATGACTCCAGCGTGTCCCCTGTCCCAGTCCAAGAAGGCGAGGAAGAGTCCAGCCCACTGCTCTTTAAGCCCTCATCCCCTCTCAAAAAACCTGGGTGTGAAAAGCAGGAAGAAAGAAAAATCAAACGTTAACCAATAGTTGATGTTTTATGGGGTCAGTGTTCAGATGAACGAGTGTGCATAAAATCTGCGCCGAACCCAGAACGCTCCAACTTTTATAGACTTTTAAACTTTAACGGAATGCCGTGCACCATCATCATCCTCACTGCCAGCAGGGGAGAAAGATGCGTACGCATAGGAAACCTCATCAATCATTCCCAGTTAAATCACCGCTTCAGCTTCTTTAAAACCATAAATAACTCCAGGGAGATTTTTATAGAAATCCTGGGAAAATGGTTTAGGGAAGTTTCTGCCCTCACACGGGGGTTCTGCGGACTTTAGGACCACATCTGTTCCAGGGACTTCCAGAGACCTTACAGAGGGGACGGGTCCCGGAGACAAACCGCTTCTGTTGGACCTCGATGTTAGGGTCAGAACATCTTTAGGTTCCGGAGACGGAGCGGGAATGTTTTACTCTGAAAAGCTGAAACAGGTTTGATCAAAATGAAACTCATAAAAAAGGAATAGCTTAAAAACTTACTTCAGCAAAATGAAAGAAAAATAATTTTTTTTTCCTGATTCAAAATCGTAAAAGCAATAAAAGAAGCAAAATACCAGGAGGAGAAACAATGAAACAGGTAATCCCACCAGTGTCACACCTTGTCCTGTCTCCCCTTTTGGTTTAGTCCTGTGTCTCTGTTAATTGCTCCCACCTGCCTCTCGTTTCCCAATCACCCAAGCTCCCAGCCCTCCTGTATTTAAACCCCTTCAGTTCTGTGTCTCGTGTTGGGTCATTGCTTCTGTCCTGCGTGCTCCACATTAAAGTTCTTGTAAAACGTCCTACCTAACATACATACATACATACATACATACATACATACATACATACATACATACATACATACATACATACATACCTACCTACCTACCTGTCTACCTGTCTACCTGTCTTCCTCACCCCGTTTGGATCCTCGCCTCATCTCCGCTTCGCTCACCGGCACGGTAGTGACAACCAGATTATGTAGTCTAATCCCATAGAGGTGAAACGGTTTTCCTATGGAAGTTTGACATCAGAAGAAGGATAATGTTTAACTCTAAAGGGCAACTATCTGGTTGACCTTCAACACCAAGAATAAACATTCAGTGTTTCTCCGCTCTTGTGACTCTATTTAATGGAATTAATCTGAGATTTCCAGAAGGCTCAGGAACAGAAACGTGTAGCGGTCACACTTTAAAACGTGACGATTTATGACCAATAAGATGTGATGATTCCATATAAATATGAAATATCAATCTGATCTTTGAATGTTTAATCAGAAGATTCTGGTTACTTTTACTTGGTCAGGGATCATGTTAATTCAGACAGAGTCAGGTATAAAGTTAAAAAGGAATTTTATTCTTTTCTAAACTAATTATAATACATGACAAAATATGAATAATGAGATGTGATGGAGTGGATATGCGGTGATGGAGTGTGATGTGTAGGTGGTGTGCTGTAAGCTAATCTCGTCTCGTCGTCTCTCGTCTCTCTCGTCTTCCTCCGCTTATCCGGGTCCGGGTCGCGGGGGCAGCATCCCAACTAGGGAGCTCCAGGCCGTCCTCTCCCCAGCCTTGTCCACCAGCTCCTCCGGCAGGACCCCAAGGCGTTCCCGGACCAGATTGGAGATGTAACCTCTCCAACGTGTCCTGGGTCGACCCGGGGGCCTTCTGCCGGCAGGACATGCCCGAAACACCTCCCCGGGGAGGCGTCCAGGAGGCATCCTGACCAGATGCCCAAACCACCTCAACTGGCTCCTTTCGATCCGGAGGAGCAGCGGTTCTACTCCGAGTCCCTCCCGAATGTCCGAGCTCCTCACCCTATCTCTAAGGCTGAGCCCGGCCACCCTACGGAGGAAACTCATTTCGGCCGCTTGTATCCGCGATCTCGTTCTTTCAGTCATTACCCAAAGCTCATGACCATAGGTGAGGATTGGGACGTAGATCGACCGGTAAATCGAGAGCCTGGCTTTCTGGCTCAGCTCCCTCTTCCCCACGACAGATCGGCTCAGCGTCCGCATCACTGCAGACGCCGAACCAATCCGCCTGTCGATCTCCCGATCCCTCCTACCCTCACTCGTGAACAAGACCCCGAGATACTTAAACTCCTCCACTTGAGGTAGGACCTCTCCCCCGACCCGGAGGTGGCAAGCCACCCTTTTCCGGTCGAGAACCATGGTCTCAGATTTGGAGGTGCTGATCCTCATCCCAGCCGCTTCACATTCGGCCGCGAACCTACCCAGCAAGAGCTGAAGGTCAGAGCTGGATGAAGCTAGGAGGACCACATCATCCGCAAAAAGCAGAGACGAGATTCTCCTGCCACCAAACTCGACACACTCCACACCACGGCTGCGTCTAGAAATTCTGTCCATAAAAGTGATGAACAGAACCGGTGACAAAGGGCAGCCCTGGCGGAGTCCAACCCTCACTGGGAACAGGTCCGACTTACTACCGGCTATGCGGACCAAACTCACGCTCCTCTGGTAAAGGGACTGAATGGCCCTTAACAGAAAGCCACCCACCCCATACTCCTGGAGCGTCCCCCACAGGGTGCCCCTGGGGACACGGTCATAAGCCTTCTCCAAATCCACAAAGCACATGTGGATTGGTTGGGCAAACTCCCATGCCCCCTCCATCACCCTTGCAAGGGTATAGAGCTGGTCCACAGTTCCACGGCCAGGACGAAAACCACATTGCTCCTCCTCTATCTGAGATTCAACTATCGATCGGACCCTCCTCTCCAGTACCTTGGAGTAGACCTTTCCAGGGAGGCTGAGGAGTGTGATCCCCCTATAGTTGGAACACACCCTCAGGTCACCCTTCTTAAAGATGGGGACCACCACCCCGGTCTGCCACTCCCTAGGAACTGCCCCCGATGACCACGCAATGTTGCAGAGACGTGTCAACCATGACAGCCCTACAACATCCATAGCCTTGAGATACCCAGGACGAACCTCATCCGCCCCCGGGGCTCCGCCGCTGTGTAGTTGTTTGACTACCTCAGCAACTTCTGCCCCCGAGATCGGACAGTCCATCCCCAGGCCTCCCAGCTCTGGTTCCTCCTCGGAATGCGCATTGGTGGGATTGAGGAGCTCCTCAAAGTATTCCTTCCACCGTCCGACTATAGCCTCAGTTGACGTCAGCAGCTCCCCATCCCCACTGTAAACAGTGTGAGCGAGTTGCTGCCTTCCTCTCCTGAGGCGCCGGACAGTTTGCCAGAACCTCTTTGGAGCCGATCGATAGTCTTTCTCCATGGCCTCACCAAACTCCTCCCACGCCCGAGATTTTGCCTCGGCAACTGCCACTGCTGCACCCCGCTTGGCTATCCGGTACCTGTCTGCTGCCTCCGGAGACCCACAGACCAGCCACGCCCTGTAGCCCTCCTTCTTCAGCCTGACGGCTCCCCGAACCTCTGGTGTCCACCAGCGGGTACGGGGGTTGCCACCACGACTGGCACCGGCCACCTTACGACCACAGCTAGCAACAGCCGCCTCGACAATCGCAGAGTGGAACAAGGCCCACTCGGACTCAATGTCCCCCACTGCTCTCGGGACGTGGTCAAAGCTCTGCCGGAGGTGGGAGTTGAAGACCGTCTTGACAGGTTCTTCTGCCAGGCGTTCCCAGCAGACCCTCACTATGCGTTTGGGTCTGCCAGGTCTACGCGGCATGTTCCCTTGCCATCTGATCCAACTCACCACCAGGTGGTGATCAGTTGACAGCTCCGCCCCTCTCTTCACTCGGGTGTCCAAAACATACGGCCGCAGGTCAGATGATACGACTACAAAATCTATCATCGACCTGTGACCTAGGCTGCCCTGGTACCAAGTGTACCGGTGGGCATCCTTATGTTCGAACATGGTGTTCGTTATGGCCAAACTGCGGCTTGCACAGAAGTCCAATAACAAAACACCGCTCGAGTTCTGATCAGGTGGGCCGTTCCTCCCAATCACACCCCTCCAGGTCAAGCTGTCATTGCCCACGTGAGCATTGAAGTCCCCCAGCAGGACAATGGAGTCCCCTGATGGAGCACTATCTAGCACTCGTCCCAGGGACTCCAAAAAGGGTGGGTACTCTGAACTGATATTTGGCCCATAAGCACAAACAACAGTCAGGACCCGTTCCCCGACCCGAAGGCGCAAGGAAGCTACCCTCTTGTCCCCCGGGGTAAACCCCAACACACAGGCAGAGAGTCTCGGGGCTAACAAAAAGCCAACCCCAGCCCTCCGCCTCTCACCCAGAGCAACTCCAGCAAAGTAGAGTGTCCAACCCCTCTCCAGGTCTCGGGTTCCAGAGCCAATGCTATGTGTCGAGGTGAGTCCGACTATATCTAGCCGGTACCGCTCAACCTCTGCCACAAGCTCCGGCTCCTTCCCCGCCAGCGAGGTGACGTTCCATGTCCCAAAAACTAGTTTTCTTGTCCGGGGATTGGACCGCCAAGGCTCCCGCCTTGGTCTGCCACCCGATTCACATTGCACCGGACCCTTCATGTTCCTCCTGCGGGTGGTGGGTCCACAGTTGGACGAGCCCATGTATCCGGTTCGGGCTGGGCCCGGCCGGGCCCCATGGGCGAAAGCCCGGCCACCAGGCGCTCGCTCACGGGCCCCAACCCCAGGCCTGGCTCCAGGGTGGGACCCCGGTAACCCTCCGGGCCGGGTACTCCGACTCTTCGTTTTAACCGCCATGAAAGATCCTTCGAGGTAAGCTAATGTTTATCAGAATCTTTGAATCTGAAAGAAATTGTGAAATCTGGGTGTAAAATAATTTGTTGTCAGCTATAAACTAGAGAGTTGATTATTAATAAAACTGCATCAGACACAGTCTGTTGTGTCTACAATCCCTGGCGGAGACCCCCAGTGGATCCGGACTGTCAGAAGTTGGGTGGAATTCACGGCACCGGGATTTCGTAGATCAACTCCGATGCGACCCGTCCAGTCTTGAGATGTCTCCAGGTCACAACAGTAGCTGGAATGCTGGTCTGCATCCAAACTGGATGTGGCTCTTAGGGAGCCGTCTGGCTGTGTCAGCTTGCAGCGTGCAAACAGGTTTTTGACTGCATGTACAAATAAGATTTCTCAAGGATGCTTGTTTCGAACTGGCCGGTTCGGAACTCTGTCAGAAACTGAATAACTCGGGAAGTAATTCCTGTTTTATTAAACTACTTTGTTATGATTTCTGGCCATTCTGGTAAATCAGAATTTGACACATTTATGAGTATTTACCAACATCCCACAGAAAGCCACGCCCTCCTCAGACACTAAAATATTTCTAACCTTAATATGTATCTTATGAAGATGTGTATGAGTGTAAACAACGATTAACTTGTTAAATCAAACACATAATGATTTGTGATTTAAATGGATCATTGTAAGAACAATATTCATTTCAAATGAATTGATTTAAGCACAGGTTATTCAAACATTTGGTTTAAACATCTTGCTCATTCATCACATATAATTATTTAACTTATGAGTTGTAAAGTCTTGTAGGATTCGTGTGGATTCCCTTTTTATTCAGAGTGAGGAATCCAGCAGTCTGAGATGAGGGAGGAAAGGGCTTTTGTGGGAGACCCTGACAGTTTATGTACGTCTGCGTTGAAGAACAATAAGTGAGTAAAAGGTTGATGTGTACGTCTGAATCCTCCAGCTGGTGTGACCTTGACTTTGCAGTTCTGGTGTGTATGAGAGGTTAGTGTGTCAATTCGATGGTGAAAGTTGACCCTTTTTATTCATAACAAGCGTTAGCCGGACTTTAATCCAGACAAAGCTGATTAAGTTTTAATGATGGGAAATTCAACTAATGTAATAAAACATGAACATAATAAAGGTCAAAGAACAGGGCTGAATGTACAAACCCCAACAAATAATAATGATGATGCTAATAATAATAAAAACTAACAACTATAATCATTTTAATAACAACAATATCATCAATAACTATAATAGTATTAATAACAACTATAATATAATAGTATTAATAATAACAACAATAATAATTGCATTATTGGCAGCATAAGTTAGAGCTTTTTTATCCTTGGAAACTTCAGGTGATTTTGAGACCGGTCCATGTGTCAAACTGGGTTTTCCTGGTCCCGCTGACCCAGTTAGGATTAAAAACCACGTCTGGAAGCTGTCTTGAGTCACAAAGCCTCAGGGGTCTGGGATCATTCTGGTTTAGGAATGCTGCTCTCTTCATTCCCAAACAAAACTCGCAGAAATCTGCTGTCTCTGAGTCCCACTCTGATCGGAGAGGATTTGAATTATCTCACTAAAGCCACAAACGTACCAGCAAAAACTAAACAAACTAAAAGTATGTTTGAAGAAGTTAAATGTTGTTTTCCTCCTAAATCAGTAAAAATCCAGAGCAGAAAAACTTTTATGTGAAAAAGAATCAGTTTAAAACCTTTTGGTTTAAACACAAGATAAGCTAAGTTTATCCTCCTGAACCAAACATTTCTGATGGACTCGTCCAGCTGCTCTTTGGTCAGACCTGTTATAGCCGTTACCATGGTTACCCAGTGATTGGATGGAGCCAGAACTTCATAAAGGTAGACGAGTTTTAATGATGTGTTATTAACCTACATGGATGGTTTCTGTCATCAGCATCAAACGTCGAGCTGCTGACTGATGGCCTTTAGCTCTGACGAGCTCCTCCTCCTGCTGATGGACTCATGAAACAAACTCAAGAATGACCTGTTTGACTCTGATGTTAGTCATGCGTTCACTCTGCCTAACGCCTCAGAACTGTCATGGTCTGCGTCCTGCATCCCCCTCATGTGTTCTCCAGCCCACTCCAGGTTCTCCTCATGCGTCTCCTCGTCACTCCCTTGTAGTTCCTCTTGGTTTGTTTTAGTCCTCCTCACCCCTCTGGTCATTAGTTTATCTTTGCCCTTAGTCTTGAGGTTTAGTTATGTAGTGTATTATAGGTTATCTTCGCTCTGCTTAGTTCTTTCTCCATTTAGTTTACTGATGACACCTGGCTCCCCTCGACACCTCTCTCCTGTCACCTGACTGCTTCCCTCTGTGTTTAAAAACCCTGTCTTGTCCCTCAGTGTTTGCTGGTCCATTGTCCTTGTCAGCGTTGTCTACTAGGTTTTCTTTGGCTTTTGTCATTCTTAATAAAGAATGTATACTTTTACATCCTCTCCTGCCTCGTGTCGTTCTGGGTGGCTGTGCATTGGGTCCAACTCCTCCAGCCCACAACGTGACAAGAACGACCTGATAATGTCCCAGTTTCAAACCAGCAACCCTCTGCAAAATATAAATTTATAAAATATTCCTGTTTGACAAACAGAAATATTTTATAAATCCAAATAAACGTTCTAAAATGTTTTCAACAACACCAAGATAAAGAAATTTACCAAAAACAGATTAAATCGGACCTAATCTGAACGTTGTTGGTCTAAATAAGTTTCCCAGAAGAATCTGATGTTTTAAAGGGCGTTAAAGTGATAAAGGTGTGTGAGTGTGTGTCGTACGTGTCGTACAGCCAGGACAGAGAACGGGAGACGTCCGCATCTGCTTTTATCTTCGTCTGACCTGACCTTCGTTCCGTTCGTTGTAAGCTTTAGCTTCTGTTGTGTAACTGAGCTCCGCGTCAAGTCACGGCGGTTTTCTCAGGAGATCTGCCTCCTGATAAAGTTCTGATCCGGACAGTTTTATAGCTCCACGATAAAATAAGATCATAAAGATAAGACGCTTTAGGAAGCAGTCCAGCAGCTGGGTCAGCTATCGTGTCGTTTTCCAGACCTTGACCTCCTGCAGGAGTTCGTCTATAAAGCAGATATGATGATGAAGCCGAGGACGTAAATGGGCTACAGCCTCGCCCTCTCAGACTCGTTAAACAACCAGAGAAGAAAAACATAAATGCTCATCCACTCGAGGAAACGCAGAAACGTGTTTACATTTATTAGACGTTAAAGAAAACAGCAGCTGTTATGATGAGACTGGCTGATCCCTGATCAGCTCTGAGACGTGTTCTTCAGCACGATGCTTCCTGTCACATGAGCGACGAAGCACCTGAGCAGGTGGATCCCCCAATAATTCACAGAGCTGTTTCAGAAAGACAAAACATCAGTGAGATGAAATAAAAAAGATGTAACTGGTGAGTATTCCTGACTGAACAGAAACAGATGAGAGCTGCTCTTGGAGCTCCACACATCTGACTGGGATGTGGTTCCTGGAACTGGGAGATCTGGTGTAGGCTACCTGATGAGAAACGGCTGGGGGAAGCAGCTATTGGTCTGAGTCTGAACCACTTCCTGGAGCTTCAGCAGGTTCGTCAGCAGAGCTCCAGACCCACATTTGTCTATCTTGGTCACCACCATCTGAACAAGAAGACAGGCAGCTCGTTACCGCTCCACCTGCACGTGTAAAAGTCCTCACATCACCAAGACTAAACTCCAGATGACTCGAAGCTCCGTCCACATCAATCCTTTCAGTTTCATCTGTTTTAATCCAAGTCTGTCGTTTAACACACGACGCAGATGGATCCTTGTTTCAGCGCTCCGGTAAACGCAGCAGAGTGTTTAATCGCCCGGCAGCATGAATAGTTAACGGGCTTCATCAGTGCGTCGGCGGCTCTAGTTTTTAAATAGCTGAGTGGAAGTGTTCAGCATTAACTCGGCGGGGACTCTTGAGAAGGATGGATGGTAAACGGTTCTTACATAGCGCCTTTGAGCTACGATGCCCTGGGGCGCACTGACAGAGGCGAGGCTGCCGAGCAGAGGCCACCGGCCCCTCCGACCACCACCAGCAGGTTAGAATGGTGAAGTGTCTTGCCCAAGGACACGTCGACTGCGACAGACTGAGTGGGACTCGGGGCAGCAGTAGCTCAACAGGTTGAGCGGGTTGTCCAGTAATTGGAAGGTTGCAGGTTTGATCCCGGCACTAGACAGAGCATTCTGCTGTTGTGTCCTTGGGCAAGACACTTAACCCACGTTGCCTGCTGGTGGTGGTCGGAGGGACCGGTGACGCCAGTGCTCGGCAGCCTCGCCTCTGTCAGTGTGCCCCAGGGCAGCTGTGGCTACATCGTAGCTCACCACCACCAGTGTGTGAATGTGTGTGTGAATGGATGAATGATACACTGTAGTGTAAAGCGCTTTGGAGTCCTTACTCTGAGAGGCGCTATACAAGTGCGGGTCATTTATCATTATCCCAAAACCCTCCGGTTAAGGTTCACTCTGTCAGTCTAAAATACGGGAATAAAACTGATTCATGAGGACAACCTGCAGCAGAGACCAGGAAACCACAAATGGTTTAAACCAGGGGTGTCAAACATCCGGCCCGCAAGCGGGTTAAATCCGGCCCGCGAGATGGTTGTGTAAACTTTATTTTCATACTTTACAATGTAGTGAAAATAAACGTATCTTTGTGAGCAAGTTTTCTCTGTAATGAGTATAAATAAAACAAAGCTGCGCTCAAGGCTCACACAAGAACTTGAATCACATCCTGAAGTTGGCCGCCACTCAGGATGTGACTTCTGATATTGATGTGCTGGTGAAAGCTAAAAGATGTAAAGTAAAATGAGTCAAATATACTTTAAGTGCTGCATGAAACTGATCTAGCCATGTGATCTGTAAGCTCTTTGAATCACTAATGAATGTTTTTTTAATTTATTTTTTCAAATTTTCAAGTACACTTCAGGTGTTGTATTTGTACGATTTTGGATACACTGTCCTCAGGCTCCAGCCTTGTTTTATATTGATTGTATTAAAACAAAGAAAACAATCTGAAGTTGTTTTTAATTTACCGGTCCGGCCCACTTGGGACTAGATTTCCCTCAATGTGGCCCCTGAGCTAAAATGAGTTTGACACCCCTGGTTTAAACTCATTGGGTTTTAAAGCTGTTTAACTCCTTTTGTCTGTATTTTATTTTATTCATCAATCCATCCATCCCTCCATTCTCTTCCGCTTTTCCGGAGTTGGGTCATGGGGCAGCAGCCTCAGCAGGGAGGCCCAGAATTCCCTCTCCTCAGCCACTTGGGCCAGCTCCTATGGGTGAATCCCAAGGTTTTCCCTGACCAGCCAAGAGACATAGCCCCCAGCATGCCCTGGGTGCCAGAGCCACTTCTACTGGCTCCTCTCAACATGGAGGAGCAGCAGATCTACTCCGAGCCCCTCCCGGACGACCGAGCTTCTCATCCTATCTCTAAGGGAGAGCTCAGACACCCTGTGGAAGAAACTCATTTCAGTCGCTTGTAACGGTGATCTCGTTCTTTCGGTCACTACCCAAAGCTCGTGACCATAGGTGAGGGTAGGAACGTAGATCGACCGGTAAATCGAGAGCTTCGCCTTCTGACTCAGCTCTCTCTTCACCACGACAGATCGGTACAACGCCCGCATCACTGCAGATGCAGCACCAATCCACCTATCGATCTCACGCTAAACATTTTTACTTAAAACAAAAATGCTCTCATTTGATCACAATATGTTAGTGTTTAGTTACTGTCGCACCGCGTAAGGACATCTGATCTCCTCACACATCTCCAGCGAGATTCGATCCGCCTGCTGAAGACCAACACTGCCATCGACCAACAGGAACGTCCTCACCAGACTGAAGAACAAAAACAGCAGAAGTTACGGAGGACTCTCCTACAGGCTTCAACCTGCACATCTAACTTAAATACTTTAGAAAAGGAAATCTAACAGAGGTGATCACACAGCACCCCCTAGTGGACAACGTCACAAACTGAACTTCCTCACTCGGGTCACAGGCTCTGCTCCATCTGTGACTGTTGGATCTGGGGCTTAGGTCATGTCTCCACTGTTTATGTGTCCAGAACAGAAAGTATGCTGGAGTGTTTTCTTCACACAGTCAGACTAGACGCACATGGACCTCCACACTTCTCCATGCACTGATCCCATAGAAATGCACCATGCCACCAAACGGAGAGGGCCAAGATGAGGATAAAATCTTTTGCATGAGGAGATTCAGGGCCCTTGAGTGGTGGCTTCAGGGGTCCCAATGTCTGGTTTGGACTATTTTCTATATAAAACCAATCTACTGATTCATGGTCCTTGTTGGACGTGCATCAGGAACCGAGAGTTACTGGTCTTCAGCTGGAGAGGATCCAGACAAGAAGGGAGCTTGTTACAGACCTTAAACCGAACCATAAACATTTAATGAAGCATCCCAACTTCTTCTCTAATGACTCATTCACTCGTAGGAAGTTCAGAATTCCCAGATGGAACTACAAACTGTACTTTTTCCTGGCGTAGAGGTACGGCTCCACCATCTCCACAAAGTCTCTGGGGGCTCTGTGTCCGTAACCCGGCATGTCCACGACGGTGAAAGCTTTTCCCACTCGGAAAAAGTTCATCGTTTTGGTGTGACCCTGAAGATCAGAACAAATAAAGTTCAAGAGATCTGCTGCAGAGGAACAGGCTGAAAGTTCCAGATCTGACTGGTTCTGATTAGCTGAGGAAAGTTTTCTGCGGAGCAGATGCAACATGCTGCCAGTACGGCAAGCCATTTTATCATATAAGATGTTCTTTGGTCAGTTAATCTAAGTCATTTTCCCACATTAGCTCAGACGTTTGGTGTGTTTTATGGTTTATGTGTTCCATGTGCATTACTCTGAAATGTGAAACTTTATAGAAATAAAAACAACCAAAACCTTCCTGGTTGTTCCATCTCAGACAAGATCTGAGCAGAACTGGAGGACGTGAAGGCCTCCAGGTGAATGTTGGAAGACCTTCATGCATCGATGCAGAAAACTCACCGGAGTTTTGGAAACTCGGACTTCGACCTCGGGAGTCAGAGAAAACAGAGCTTTGATGAGTGACGACTTTCCCACGTTACTTCTGCCGATGAAACACACCTGAGAAAAGCAGAATCAGAAGATTCATCTTCAGACACCGCAGGAGTTTTCAGTAACAACGAGCCAAAGCATCAACGCTCAGACTCGTCTGTCTCTGCGACACTGGACAGATGGATGGAGATTCGTTCTGGCAGCGAGCTGCAGCTACATCATCCTCCAACGGAGGCAGCGTGCTAACGAACTCGGCCCGTTGTCCTGTCACCACGCCGCTCCGTTCTGAGTCCAACACTTAGAGATTTGCTCATTCATCATCACGTGCCAACTCCTGCTTACTAATGCATGAGGCTGCAGAAGGGTAAAGACATATTAGGCTGTATCTCCTACAGGCTGGGCTCATCTGTTAAAACAAAGAGGGACATTCAGGCACCAAGTTCCTCTTTTATCGTGGAATTAATTCATGAGGCAGCTGACGAAGCTGGTTGGAGAATTTACTCCATCTCTCTGGTTCTAAACCTCTTCTGCTTGTTAGCTGCTGAATTAGCTGGTTTTTTAAAATCTTGTTGACGAAACAGCAGACAGATGAAAACTGTCTCTAACCAGTAAAATCAAACAATAAACAATATTAAAATGAGACCGGTTGAATTTAAATCAAACCAAGAGCTAATGGGATGATAATTACCTGATTTTAATGTGACCTCAGTTTTTTAATCATCAGTAATTTAGAATATTTGTGGCCTCGTCACATCCAGAGTCAACCAAACATTAAGACAAGACTGAAAAACCACAGAAGTGAAGTAGTAGTTCACCTCAGGAGGTTTGAGAGCAGGGATGTGCTCCATCCTGCCGGCAGACACGAAGAAATCAATCTTATGAGCCGCAGAAGAGCAGAAAAGTTTCTCTGCTTCCATCATGTCCTCCAAACTGGGTTGAAACAGTTTAAACTGCATCCTGTCCACGGACCTGAAAACACGGTTCTGTCTGATTAAAACGTCCTGCTGAGAATTTACAGCATAGGTACCGAGCACAGTACCTGTCCAGGTAAGGCTCCAGGCCACTGAAGGGGTAAAGAGTGCTCTGCATCTTCCTGGGGGGAAGAGAGGAGGCCTTCTGAAGCGATGCCAGCTTATGGACGCTGCGTCGAGTAAAAAGAAGAAGCCACGGGCATCGCTGGACACATAACATCTTCTGTTGACTTCAGATCAGACAGCTGGTGGAACGACAGAAAGATCAGAGTTTAGCCTGAAACTTCAGGACTGACTTTATAAATAATTATATTCTTTTAAATTAGATTACATTAGCAACATGAATACGGTTTAACTGTTTAATTCCAGCATCTCCACATGTCCAGTATGATTTTAAGAGTTCATCAGGGTGATGTTCAGCATGTGTGCTTCAGTAAAACAGGAGGAATAAAATGTGCTCAGACAGATAAACGAGAAGATCCAAACAAGGTTCAGTCAAATATCAGTTTGGATTTTTGTTTAAATATTGTGCGTGTATTGATGTAATATTAATAACCTTTTTCACATATTTAAACTCAGTGCTTTAATTATATTTATTCTTCAGGAATATAGTTGTTGCAAGGCTTTAATTTTCAGTTTATTTTAATTAAAATTAGAACGTTTATCAGATTTTTGAGTCTACGTGTAATCTGGTGTTTCTTTAGTTACTTTAATTAATTTAATAATATTTTTCGTTCATGACTGGCTGGAATTGGGTTTGGTTGTTATACAACTGTGGGCATTAAATAAAACAATATAAATAAAATAAAATACCACTGATGGCTTCCTGCTGGTTTCTGAGAACGAATTTAATGTTTGTTTTCCTTATTACAGGTTTTACTTCTGCTGCGTCATTTATTTAAGGTTTAGGAGTTAAAGTTGTTCACGAACACAAATACTATGAGGAATGACTCTGAAACTGTTAAGCTTCAGACAAAACTACGGCTAATGAAACAAAATAATGTAGAATTATTTCACCACAGATGAAAGCCTGCATAATGCCGTTAGCTTGATGCTAGCTTGTTAGCATTACATCATCTTAAAGCGACGCGAAACAAAGACCGACGGAAGCTTAGTACCGAGTTCCATAAAACGACTCACCGACACCTCTCTGTCTTCATGTCACAAAATCATCACGAAGAATTGTTTATTTAAATGTCTCTTCAGAATCTTAACAGTCATATCAGCGTCTGTTTACATCCTTCTTCTTCTACGTTTGTTGAAGGGATGACACAGCGACACCTATTGGACTTGTTTATCACTTAATATTAATTTTAGATTCAGATTCAAATTCAAATTTATTATTATTATTATTATTATTATTATTATTATTATTATTATTATTATTATTATTATTATTATCCTACTCCTATTATGGTCCTGTTGGCTTCATCAGAACGTGATCTTCAGCTTTCGCTGGAGAGGTTCGCAGCCGAGTGTGAAGCAGCTGGGATGAGAATCAGCTCCTCTAAATCTGAGACCATGGTCTTGATTCGGAAAAGGGTAGAATGCCTTCTCTGGGTCAGGATGAGGTCCTGCCCCAAGTGGAGGAGTTTAATAATAATAATAATAATGACCTTTATTGTCATTGTACAGGATACAACGAAAGCACTCCCTTGGTGCACAATACAATAATACTTGTAATTATAAAAAGTCCCCTAAAACAAAACAATAGTAAGTAAAATATATACCGAATAGCACAATATATACAGAATAACAGATAAAATATTATGTATAAAATGGCATTAGAATAGCAGCATAATAGTTGACGGTAACCTTGACAAGTCGCTAAGCAGTTTTAATTGTTTTTATGCTTATTTACTATAGAGATCGCCCTGGGAAAAAAGCTATCCCTGAATCTGCTTGACCTGGTTTTATGTGACCTGTACCGTCGACCTGATGGTAATAGTTGAAAGACTTGATTGCTGGGGTGAGACTGGTCCTTGATGATATTACTCGCTCTGCTGAGGTACCGAGAGTTTGCAATGACCTCCAGGCTGGACAGAGAGCAGCCAGTGATCTTCTGGGCTGTGTTGATGACCCTCTGCAGTACTTTCCTGTCTGCAGCTGAGCACCCTGCGTATCATGCTGTTATGCTGTACGTTATGATGCTCTCTATGGTGGCTCTGTAGAAAGTCACCAGCAGCTTCTCCTCCAGGTTGTTCCTCCTGAGCACTCTCAGAAAGTGGAGACACTGCTGGGCCTTTTTTTAACCACTGCCATGGTATTTGCGGTCCAGGAGAGATCGTCAGAGATCTGCACGCCCAGAAACCTCATGGAGTGTACCCTCTCCACACAGTTCCCATGAATGTACAATGGGGTCTGCTCTGCCCTTCCTAAAGTCGAAGATAAGTTCTTTAGTTTTCGTGGTGTTCAGTTGTAGGTTATTTACTGAACACCACTCTGCCAGTCTGTTGACCTCATCTCTGTAGTCTGTCTCATCCCCCATCGAGATGAGTCCGACCACGGTGGTATCATCCGCAAACTTTATAATGGTGTTTGAGAGATGGAAAGGGGAGCAGTCGGATGTGTAGATTGTAAACAGGAGTGGACTCAAAACACATCCTTGTGGAGCCCCGGTGCTGAGTGTGATGGTGCTGGACAGGTGTGGGCCGTGTCTGACAGACTGTGATCTATTTGTCAGAAAGTCCTTAATCCAGAGGCAGATGGGGGTGGGGAGTCCCAGGTGAGACATTTTCTGGACCAAGATCTCAGGGATTATGTGATTGAATGCTGAGCTGAAGTCCAGGAAGAGCATTCTCACATAGCTTCCTCTGTGCTCCAGGTGACTCAGCGCAGTGTGGAGCGCTGTGGTGATAGCGTCCTCAGTGGATCTATTTGTCCTGTAGGCAAATTGATGGGGGTCCAAAGTGGGAGGCAGACTGGCCCTGATGTACTGACAGACCAGCCTCTCCAGGCATTTCATCACTACAGGCGTAAGTGCAACAGGCCTGTAGTCATTTAGGCTGACCGCTGCTGTCTTTTTAGCGACGGGGATGATGGTGGAGGTTTTGAGACAGGGCGGGATGGTGTTTAGTGTCAAGGAAAGGTTGAAGATTTTAGTGAAGACTCCGGTCAGTTCATCAGCACATGCCCTGAGCACCTTTCCATGTAATCCATCAGGACCTGCTGCCTTCCTGGGATTCACTGACCTTAGAACACACCTCACTTGATGCTCCGCAAGTGTCAGTGTGCCAGTGCTGGGGACGGGTGTAGATGGAGTTACATCTGAGGGCCTGGACGTCTCAAAACGGGCGAAGAAACGATTTAGATCCTCAGCTCGCGAGGCATCAGTACTAGATGTCGCCAGGTTATTGCTTCTGTGCTTGGTAATGTGATTAATCCCCTGCCACATTTTTCTGGGGTCGTTGTCTGCAAAGTGATCTTCAGTCCTTCTCCTATAGGCAGCCTTAGCTTTCTATAGGAGAAGGATTGAAGATCACTTTGCAGACAACTTAAGTATCTCGGGGTCTTGTTCACGAGTGAGGAAAAACTGGAGCGTGAGATCGATAGGTGGATTGGTGCTGCGTCTGCAGTGATGCAGGGGTTGTACCGGTCTGTTGTGGTGAAGAGAGAGCTGAGTCAGAAGATGAAGCTCTCGATTTACCGGTCGATCTACGTTCCTACCCTCACCTATGGTCATGAGCTTTGGGTAGTGACCGTAAGAACGAGATCACGGATGCAAGCAGCTGAAATGATTTTTCTCCGAAGAGTGGCTGGGCTCTTCCTTAGAGATAGGGTGAGAAGCTCGGTCATCCAGGAGGGGCTCGGAGTAGACCCGCTGCTCATCCACATCGAGAGGAGCCAGTTGAGGTGGCTCGGGCATCTGGTCAGGATGCCTCCTGGACGCCTCCCTGGTGAGATTTTCTGGGCACGTCCAACCGGGAGGAGACCTAAAGATAGACCCAGGACACGGTGGAGGGACTATGTCTCTCACCTGGCCAGGGAACGCCTTGGGATTCCCCCGGAGGAGCTGGCCCAAGTGGCTGGGGAGAGGGAAGTCTGGGCCTCTCGCCTTAGGCTACTGCCCCCGCGACCCGACTCCGGATAAGTGGATGAAAATCGATGGATGAATGGATATAATAATAATAATAATAATAATAATAATAATAATAATAATAATAATAATTATTATTATTATTATGTCTTCACTTTGAACCACCAACATGTGTTATACTTGTGTTATACTTTTATAGAGCCAGTACGTTGAACTCAATCTGCACCAGAATTAAAGGAATCAACTGATTAAAATCTTGGTTGGTTATTAAATGAAAAAAAAAAAAACCTTAGACAGACTTTTAGGTTAAATAAAAAACATTCTTGTGAACAGAAAAAAAGAACATTTAAGAATTTCTACACTCTTTTACAACATTTAAACATGTATGCATGGGTTCTTTTATAAGTGTAACATTTAGAATAATAAACATACATAAAATAAAAAAACACATAATAATACTAAGTAATCAGACTAGGTATGAAATAAAGGCAGTTTGTCAGATAAAAATTTCCATTTGAAAGTTGGATTAATAATATGGTAATAATAACAATAATAATGTTTTTCCTTGAGTAAATGAAATGAAACACTTACATAGTCAATGATTTGTTCTGGAAGCTTATTTCTATCAAACACATGGATATGAACAATTCCAGACCAACACTGTTAAAGACTGGAAGCTGAAGGTAGGTTAAAACTGCAGAGATGTGATGGAACCTTTGCACTGATCTACCGTCCCGTGGGTCATTGAAGCCTAATTTACGAGCATGAATCTTCTTTTAGATCTGGCTCCATTCCTCATGTTGATGCATGGCTGCAGGAACGCACAGAAACATTCCTGCTCTCTGGAACAAGAAGGGAAAAGCACCGCTCTCCCTGTCACATACATCCTCCAGCACTCTGTCCATCGGGATTATTGAGGATTATAATAATGACGTAGCAGCAGTTTGCCAAAGAAATGTCTCCATAAATCTGGTTCTAAGGAGGTGGCAGTGATAAGAGCAACTCTGGGCCTCCTTCTGCATTCTTTGACTCTGAGTATCCCAGGAGGAAAAACGGATTCTCATAAATAAATTCTCCTCCTTCTCTGTTTTTCTTTAAGGTTTTTTCAATCATTTTCCTATTTGCTTGAACATCCATCAAGCATTAATAATGTTTCAGAGTAGTTTCTGAATCCCTGTAATCCGCTGAGGGTGTGGTTTCTGCCCACATGGTGGCGCTGCAGTCCACTGAATGCATGGCTGTGATTTGTTCTCCACTACCTTGGGCCAGTCCTCCTGCTGCTCCATCTGGCTTTTATGACCTGATGTGATTCACTGAGCAAATTAATTCACAGATTCTCATCTTCAGCCTGCTCAGGACCCGTCGTGCTCCTGCACGCCGTTTTCACAACGGTTACGAGAACACACTCTAAAAACAAGCTCCTTGTTAGAGTCACATTACCTCTGACCTTTAATCATTTACCTTTTCAGGATGTGTTCGCTCGTGTCCTCCTCCACCCCAGCACCGATTTTAACAAAACAATTTAAATAAATGTCTACAACTCATTAACTTATGAAGTCTGCCCAATTCAAGATGGCTGCCATGGCTGATGCACAAAAATGTCTAACTCTGTCGGAGTCTCATCATCAGGTGTGATGGAGCGTTCACTTGTGAGGAGTTACATCATACTTAAGAAGGTGGTGTGCATCCCTCAGAGACCTTTAATTTGTGTTTGTTTCTGACGATGTTCACCTGAGAGGAACAAGGATAGGAGCTGCAGAGGTTAGGAACTGAAGGCTTAAAGCTGTTTTATAGTTCCACAGGAAGCTGGGAGCCAAAGGAACTATTTTTCTTCAGCGGTTGTTTACAAGGCTTTTATCACCGCAGGACCTCTAAAACCTCCAAACAAACCTCTAAAACCACACGTCAGCGCGGGTTATGAGACACTAGTGTGAGAAAAGGACTGTGAAGGATTTATGGTGGTGTAGATAAACGAGGGCGGGGGGAGCAGAGCGG